TTATATGTTATTATTTTGACAGTACCTTCAATATGATATACGAATTTAGTTGCTCAATCACTCTGTTTTGAAGTACCTTTATCTGTAAAATGGGAATAGCCAAACTGTCCCCTCTCCTAAGAGCCAGGATATAAGTAAAATTCAGTGAGGAAAATGGTATTTTACAGTCATAATGTCACTTGAAAGATTAATAGAGATAATAGCAAAAATATGAAATGAATTGCATAATGTATACTATACTACTTATAACCCAGTCTTAACAATTTAGATTTTTATAAAGGATCTCGACAGCAAGAACACTTACGAGGGCTGGTATCTGGAGCAATGACGACAAGGCCATGTTCTGATGCAGCTTGATGATAACCAGATTTCGATATGAAATTTTGTTCTGTGCAAGTCAAACCTGAAGATCAAAAATATTGTTATCTCATGCTATACTGTAAATGATTTATAAGCTCTAATCTTTTTATGATACAGAAAAAACAATCTCACTTGGTATTAATTTAAAAATTTTATTTTGCTTTAGAAATGATTATGAGTAAGATACTAAAGTTCTCTTTCTTACAATTTGTAAGAAATTTGTAATAGTATTAATCTAGGAATTGTCTTGGGCTAAATTATTCTATAACCTTTTAAAGTTACTTACTAAAATTTCAATTACTGAAATCCTTTGGGTCAAATAGGTTTAGGAATTTAGAACTTTTCAAACTGTAGAATGGCAATATGATGCATAAGGCCAATATTAAAACAACCCCAGTGAGATGTTATTCAAACATGCTAATTAAACATGGTACCATTTCTACAACAAAATGTAAATATTCACAGCAGTGAGCTAATACTATGGCTGTCATAATACAAATAACAGTATTTTTTATGTATAGGTAGTTATCAGCAACAAAATTCAGCCTAATCATCTCTGTGTTCCTCACGGAACTGAGAGAGTAATGGTGACCATAAAGCTTACTTAAATTGAGTTTTAGCCCAGTTTTTAAAACTATTTCTGTCATTTTTCCTAGCTCTATGCTTTTCAGTCCTTTGATAGAGAAGATGACTTACTCATTAGTACCTAATGCTACAATGATGTGAGAATGGCCAAGAATGAACTAGCAATCAATGCTTCAGCTAAACGTCACTTAACATCCCTTTTCCAACAGCCCGTTTCCAGTGGCCAATGCTAAATATCCCACTACATCTGATAATTAGCAACATCAAAGCTTATTGATAAGCATGATGCAATACAAATTAACTACAAAACACTTTTATAGTTGCTAATTATTCCCATAACAGCCAGCACAGAGACTTACAAAGTAGTTGCCCATAAACATTTGTTAAATTAATAAATAATTATAAGACACAAAGTTATATGCATCATTGGATAAAATATTATGGGAGTTTATGATTAAACTATCACTAGGACATACAGACTTTCACCAGTCATGGCAGACGAACAAGGTCACATTGTATGTCTACCACGTTCCTTCCCAGTACGTCTTCCAGAGATACTGGACCTGTATCATGGTGGAAGACTGTCCCCCAAACTGACCAAAGGTCAGCAATTTTGCTGAACTTAACATAAACACATTCAAAGGAGGCAGAATCATGGTGTAGAAGGCATGGGTTTTGGATTTCAGACAGAATCTGATTCTAAGTGTCACTCAGCCACTTACGTATTAACTAGCCAACTTGAATATCCTGAGCCTCAGTTCTGTCCTTTGAAAACGGGGATAGTATTGCTCATTTTTACCTCATAAAGAAAATTAAATGTGATAACATGTAAAGTCCTTTGACTTGTGTCTGTAACATAATGCAGTGTCTTGCACTTGAGAAATGTAAATTTGTTAGATACCAGAGAAAAATTTGTTATTTTCTAGTTAGAACACAAATTCCTTGATTAAAATAATAGGGAGTAAATTGTAGATTCACAGAAACGAAGATAATCCTACTAGAAGGATTACTCTCTAGAAAATACAGTTACTAATTAAAATCTACTTAATTAACTATATTTTATATGAAGAACTGGATTTTTTTGGTAACAATTTTACTGAGCTATAATTCACATGCCATTCAATTCACCCATTAAAGTGTATAATTCAGTGATTGTTAGTATATTCGCAATTATGAAACCATTACCACTTTCATCACCCCAAAAAGAAACCCCACACCCACTAGCAATCACTCCCTATTTATCCCTCCCTCAGCCCTAGACAAACACTACTTTACCACTAGTATTTCTTTTTCTGTCTCTATGGATTTGCCTGTTCTGGGCATTTCATATAAATGAAATTTAACAATACGCAATCTTTCATGAATGGCTTTTTTCACTTAGCATATTTTCAAGGTTCATCCATGTTGTAGCATGTACCAGGACCGTATTACTTTTTGTTGCTAAATAATTTTCCATTGTACGGATATAACAAACTTTATTATTTCATTAGTTGCTGGACATTGGTTGTTTCCATTTTTTGGCTACTACGCATAATATACTACAAACATTTATGTACAAGTTTCTGTGTGAATATATGTTTTCAATTCTCTTGGGTACATAGTTATTAATGGGCTGTTTTCACAACCTAGACTTGGGAAAGATATGAATCACTACATTCTGACCATCTTCTAGGATTTCAATATTGACACTTTGATTTCAGCTAATTTGTCAATTTTAGCAATATAACGATTGATGTAATCTTTCTGTCACTGTTTCCTTCAACTTGTTGAAAAGAAAACCTTTTGTCATCAAAATTCTTTTGTCATCATTTCTCAAGAGCACTGGTCAGGCAACCTTACCTTTTTTTTTGGAAAATCAAAACTTAATTTCCAAGGTCCATCTGTTCTTAAGCATCTCACTAAGGAAACTGTCCTGTCATTTGATCTAAACAAATAAAAATTCTATGTTTTATATTCATAAAGCTCAGATGATATACTTTTCAATTTTGGTTAGGAATTTAAGGCCTTACTACTACAGTATCTATGACACAATACCCTGGTGCTTCTGATTGGAGTTATTATTCTTTAACCAAGAGATATGATTTTAGTAGCTCTCTCCAGAAACAAAACGCAAAAAGACCAGGAGAGAAGACAATACAGCTCTGGACTGTGAGTCAGAAAAATTGTTCAACCTCACACTGTTATGTGGCCTTGGACAATATTTGGCTTCTCTGGGCCTCAGTTTTTTCCCCATGGATTACTCTAAGATCATCTTTAGCTATACAATATTATATTTACTAAAACAATTAGATACCTAATTTTGTTGCTCTTGCTTTTGGCAATACCTAATGCTATTCTAGCAAAATTATTGTTGTTCATTCAATCACAGAAATGCTTTGTTGAATTAAAAATCAGATATGCACCTAACTTTTACCTTTTAAAATATTTATTCTCATTTGTAAAGATTGGTATTCAGGGCTTATCCTTGATGAACTATAACTAAGGGAGGATTTGTTAAATCAAAGTTATAAGAACCAATTTTAAGAAAACAAAATTTTAAGTAAGCAAAATTAAAATAGTACTCCATCACATGATTTGGTTGTTATGATTCTCCTCTTGTAATTACTTCCTTCTAAAGATGAAGTGCCACCATCTTGTGAAAGAAAAGTTAGCATAGAGTTTCAAAACTAGTGGTGTCAAATCTTTCTCTCAGTGTTTAGTATTAACCACTGTTTAAGAAGCATTCGTGTTTTGTGATTTTCCAGATCATTGCCAGAGAAGTTCAATGGAGTCCAATTAAGACATTCTTTTTTTTTAATTGAATCTTAATTGATTATACATACTTTTGTGATTCAATGCTGACATATGTTGATCAAATCAATATTACTAGTATCTATATTGTTACAACTTGTACTTATTCTTTATGCCCCTTATCGAATCTCTTCCTATCCCCTACTCCCTCTCCCCTCCCACCACTGATAACCCTAGATTTCTTCTCTTCCTCTGAAAGAGTAATGGTTACCCTGTTGACCTGTTGCCTAGATGATCTGTCCAATGCTGAGTGGTGTGTTCAGGTCCCCCAATATTATCACAGAGCAGATGCTTCTTCTGTCACTCTGGAATGGGCTTTGTGAAGAGAGACATTCTCTTCTTTTCTTTGGTCTTTGCTGGTGGCTCTCCTTGTGTCAATGCACTTCAGTGGCTGGTGGACCATCTGCGTGGTGGTTGTAACATCTAGCCACTTTTGTGGCAGCCATGGTTACTGTGGTGGACCACCCACATGCAGGTGATGTTTTTGGCATGCTCCTTGGCGCTGGTGGTGTACCTGGTTGTGGGGAGTCCTGTCCCTGGCTCTATGCCCTGGGCTCCTGGGTGGGGCCTTGAGGTGCTGGCGGTGTGCCTGGTTGTGGGCAGGGGGCCCAGTCCGCAAGCTAATTTTTTGTCCTTTGCTTAATTCTAAAACTGGGGAACTTCCTGTAGGAACCAGTACTCGAGCTGTGTGGTCAAGCTATATTGCTGCTTTGCTGCTGTTTTCCTAGGGAAGGCTTTTTGTGCCACTCAGGGTTTAATGGTTGACCTTATAGGTACTTCCAGCTGTCCAGAGACCCAGTGCACCTGGGTTGTATAAAAACTCTGATCTGGGCCTGAGTTTTATCATCAAACTGCATCTCATGCAATTCTGCATTCCCAACCAGTCTCTTGTCAGTGGCCCTGCACTGATTGGGGGGCAGATTGGCTGTCCTTGCTGTGTCCCAGTGTTCTCCTGGTAGGCCTGTCTCCCCCACCGCCTGTGCTCCAAACACTTCCCATGGGACGGGCGTGCACTGGTCCCTTGCGATGACTCACTGGCCTCTGAATGGCTCCCCTTTTTTAGCTGTTCTGGCTCCTCGTTCCTGCATGGGTCCACGGGAACCCTATTAGTGGTCTTGCTGTTCTAGGGGCCAGGGGACGGGCGTGCACTGGTCCCTTGCGATGACTCACTGGCCTCTGAATGGCTCCCCTTTTTTTAGCTGTTCTGGCTCCTCGTTCCTGCATGGGTCCACGGGAACCCTATTAGTGGTCTTGCTGTTCTAGGGGCCAGCAAGGCCCTCTTCTCCCCTGCTGCCTCCAAGCAACTCCATCTGAAGGGCACAGCTGTGGCTTCTGCTGGCTCCTGCTCCATGCACTCAGCAGCTGCAGCCTTAAAGCAGCGACAGCCTGCAATGCTCTGAGCGGTTTTTTCTTTCTCTCATCGTGGCTTCTCCTGCCTTCATGAAATCCATAGGTCTCTCCTCCTCTTCCCCTGAGCTCCAGCGGCCCCAGCTTGGCTGCTGTTACATTTTTATAGTTTTAAATTGGTTGATTTGTGGGAGAGAGTAATGCTGGGGAACATCTATTCCACCATCTTGACTGGAACTCCTCAATTAAGATATTCTCGAGAATACTTTAAGAGTTTACTTCTCTCTGATTTTTAATTAGTGTATCATGGTGTCCTAGTTTCACCTAATGTTGTTCTATTTGACTGGTAAAGTCCCCACAAACCCCGGAAAAGCCTGAGTAGGTATAAATTAAATAAACAACTTTTCTAAGCCTTTGCCACTGAATCCAAAACTTTACATTCTCTGCTAAACTACCTGGTCTAACTGAAAAAGAAAAAAAAAATGTAATTCAATAGGTCTGAAATTATTCTCAGGATAAAGTACCAGAGTAAACTATGACAGGCCTCTAAAGTCTTTTATAAATGGCTCAGAAAACATACCAATATGTCAAGATAAAAGGGTAAGATAAACCAATTAAAAAGAAAAAGAAATTCCTTTACAAAACTCAATTGCATAACACTTACCAGACAGCCAATATACGGCAGGGCACTTTCCAGTTTCCGCCTGTGGTGGTAAGTAGACAGCAAATTTCATTTTGCAGTTCAGTTCCACACTGTAATTTAACATCACCAACAAAATATTAATCCCCCTCATTAATCAAGACAAAAACAAAATAATTAAGCACCTTGTAAAAAGCAAGATATATAGTAAAAGTCCAAAATAAGTGAGTCAATGTCCAAAATAAGTGATGCCACAAAAATTTAAGGAATATCCTTTGTCTCTTAAAGAATGGGCAGATTTAGCATACGGATCTCTTAACTAACCTGAGCCTATGCATGTCCAAAATAAGTGATGCCACAAAAATTTAAGGAATATCCTTTGTCTCTTAAAGAATGGGGCAGATTTAGCATACGGATCTCTTAACTAACCTGAGCCTATGCTTTGCATGGCACATAGTCACCTTGGGAAGAATAAATAAATGTAATCCTCAATGCAGCAATTACATTATTAAAGGAAAAATGTTTCTTTCTCTACAGAGATGTATGAAATAACCAGCTTTTATGAAGCATGCATTCTAAAGATCTTAAATTTCCTGTTTGCTCATGGGCACTGCAATGCACCACATATCCTTAATTTCCTCTCTCATCATTATTATTTTACCACAATCACTATTACTGCAATTAGATAAGACAATTTTGATAAACATCATAGGTATTTTTCCATGTAAACAGTAATTTATGCAACAATTATCTCTCATGAGTTTGTTTAAAGAATTGCACAGATTGAAGTCAACTCTTATTACTTCGGGATAAACAGCTATCTTTTTATTAATGTTACGCATGTACATATAATCAGTTACTACAAACAGTAAATACTTACTCAAACTTTGTTATGAAAAACCAGTTTTTCCCTGCCCCATAACCTTCTCATGTAACACATTTCACAGATAATCACTTTACCTTCTCTGTTTAGGCTCCTCTTTACCTCACACAGTTAAAGCTACAGCCAATTAAGTCTGGTGAAACTGTCAAATAGTTAACCATAGAGGGAGAGTAAGCAAGTTTAAAAATGAAATGAGGTACCATAATATATAGATAAAGATTTGTTCAAAAATAGAACAACAAACAGAATGTGAGATATCTAAATTTAGATCTTCTTCAGTTACCTGTCATGTTCAAAAACTTTCTGCAATCCCCCAAAGCACTTGTTGCTGGAAACCTGTTTCAGTGCCATTCTTTTCCTATTAGTGAAGATTAATATCATTAATTTATAGGGAATTAGTTCCTGAAAAACTTGAAACTAATTGTTTTCAGATAAACTACCTGAACACACAACTGTTTTCCAGCTGAAACTGATCAATTTTCATATACAAACTTAAACTTGTTACCCACTTTAGAAAATTTTAGTACTTTGATACAATATATCATTACTAATTTATTCGCAGGCTTTCTGTTGTTGTAGGCTGCCCAAATTCTTTTTAAAGGAGGCAGAAAATAAAGTTACTGATAACCTTAGTTTAGAAGATTCACAAATTGTTAAGTCTTCCTATCAACTGCAACAAAAAAGTCATTGAATTGGTATGATTGATTACAGTTGATTTAAAAATGGGAGGAAAATGATGTGATAATGATTTTAATAACAGACAACATTACAGAACACTTAAGTGTGACAGGTTAGTATTTTTCTATATATTAAACTAGATTAAATTACTCATGATATGAGAGTTTTTGAGAGAAAGTGATTAAAGCTTTTAAATCAGCACTTCTTTTAAAACAAACCAAACTGTAAAACATAAGTGAATTAAAAGTACAGCTTGTCATTAGGAAATTCTGAGGTTTGGTAATTGATTTCTTTTCTCTCCAACAAATCTTCCAAATTTCCATATAAAAATAATTTTAAACTTATACATAAAATAGCACACATTATTATTGCTTAATAATCAGTACAGGAAAAAATTGGAAAAACATCTTTATTATAACTGCTCGTTGAGCAAAGAGGAACCACACAGATTCTGATGCGTACACTCTCAAGGAAGTAGTCCCTTCCCATCTCTGGTAGCACTGAATTAAAATACAAATCAGTAAGTCTTACACACTAAATAAAAAACTGAAGATACCAGAAACAGGTATTACCACTGGTGGTCTTCTCAGTGAAATGGTCTGATCAATTGCAGCTCTAAGATTACTTTTACAAAAATATATAACAGTAATTTTTAAATGTTAATTTCGGAAATGTCTTTGGAAAATTCTAAATGAGAATAGTTTTGATCCTATCTTTAAATAATCTCTTCAATAAATCCAAATACTTGGTTTAGGTTAGAAAACTGGGATTTGAACCCAGGAAGTTTGACATCAAAGCCCCTACTCTTAGCTACCATGCTGTTCTGCCTCTCTATAGAGTCTTTAAAGGCTAATCTATAAAAGATTAATTCTTAAACTCCCATGAGATGTTGTTAATCACTGAATATTATCTTCAGCTATTCTTGTCCATGATCTTATCTTAAATAAACAATGAATTTAAAGAGATAGACATTGTACAGTTTTAATATACATACATGACATAAAGGAATAAAATTAATTTGCTGAATTAGTCTACAAAAGAATGATTTTCTTAAACCTAGAAGGGACCATGTCTGCTTTCCTGAAATATGGTACACTGAGCTTATATTTGGTACTTAAGAGGTACCTGATAAATACTTGTTGAACTAATGAAAAATTTTTAGAACTTTTTACATACTAATTATGTAAAACTTTAAAAAATTAGTTTGTCCTTTATTTCTGTCATTCTTTACTTTGCTTTTTTTTTTTTTTGCAGCCAGCTGGTATGGGGATCCGAAACTGGAACTTTGGTGTTATGAGGCTATGCTCTAACCAACTGAGCTTACCAGCCAGCCTATTTATTTTAATAAACCAAATTTGTCTATTTCCTTTGCTCTTTGAATGTTCCTTAATTAAAATTCAAAACCAAATACTTTTCATTTGGCCAGAAGAAATGTTAAAATATGTATATATTTTTTAATTGGTAAAATTCCTTTAAAAAAAAAAACCACAAAAGCTCTAAAAAAATTTTTTTTTCTAGCCACCTATTTTAGAAATTATCTTCAATTACAAATTAAAGAAAATATTAGGCTTAACAAAAAATATGACATAAGCTAAGAATTAGATATGATATACTGTGATATATTATGATACATGATACACTAGGTGGTTAATTTTTCAATAAAAATTTTCTATATGAAAAGTAACATATTTTAAGCCAAATTATTATTTTTTTCATTCAACTTTCAGAGAAACACATAAACAATAAAACTTTAATTTACCTGTCTAATTGCTACCTGGTTTTTTGTCTGCACCAAAGAGCAGATGATCCTACAAAAAAGACCAAAAGGTTTACAAATGGAGTATACTTTTCACAGCAACGATTATATACAGAGGTTATATATATTTACACATTTTCAACAGAGACATTTTCTACTTTTGAGGTAAGTGACTGTCTACCTGATGGAACACACCACTTTACCTTGCCCCTTAATCTAATTACCTTAATACCTATTTTGCCACAAGGCCTGGTATGCAGCTAAGAACTTTTGCTGGAGTAAGAGTATGAAGAAAGTTTTTTTTTTCTTTTTAAATAAAAAAAATGTTACAGTGTAATTTGGATGTATAGGATGTAGTCAGTTGCTGAGAGTGAAGAAAACAGGAGTGGGGCCTAGGAAACCAGAGGACAGATCTACCTGGTTAGACCGGATTTGTAGGTCAAACTTGTAATGTGGGGAGGACAAAAGACATATATGGATGAAGAGGATTCATAAAGCAAATGTACCTCACAGGGCCTGGTTTTCCAAAGCCTTGCAGTTTCAAATACTGACCTTGCAAAGGACAGGAAATTTCCCCGAGGGCATTGAGTCCCTATTGCAAGATAAGAATCCTAACACAGCAAGGCTGCTGGTTCTAAGACAGACAAGTTACTAATTGATATATAAAGTTACTAAAAAGCTGCTAGAGGGAAAAGGAATGTCGGCTAAATCAAGCCTTGGTTAGTGGATCACTTAATTGCCTAACAGAAGGTCATCTGACTTGTTTTTACTGAATGTTACCAGCTTCTATTGTAAAACTTGTTAAACTGTACTTAGCAAAACCCCACCTATGTCTCTTCCTGTAACTTCTTGGTCTGGAGAATAAATGCAGGAAGAGAACCCCAATTCGTGGTTAATTTCCCAAATGGCAGGAATGCCTCTATCTTGAGGGTTCTGGGACATTAACCCCTTTCTGGGGCTTCTCACTGCTCAAAAGAGATGGGCTTTGAGTAATCTTTGGCGGCTCTGTCACCCAGGGGAAAAGGGGTGACAAATCCATGGGAGGCAAAGCAACATATGGAAACTTTCATAGCATTTATGTGACATTTGATAGATATGTTTCAGTTAGGCTCTAGAACAGATACATATTTTTTAGGTTCAGAGAAAAGGGGTGATAGTATAGGGCAGAATAACAAAAAACAAAGCCCCCCTTTTCCCCACTAAAAAAACCCCAAAACAAAAACAAAAATTCACAGTGCCAGTGAGAGTTACACAATTTTCCTAGAATGTTAGTGAAAATCAATATTCTTCGAAGGTTCTCTCCATGCATGATACATGACAAACCAATCAGGTAAAAACCATTAAAGAAAAAACCATTTCTTCACTCTCAGCAGCTGACTACATCTTATACTTCCAAATTCTACTTCAACATTTTTTTTTTTATTTAAAAAGAAAGTTGTCTTGGGCCGGCCCGTGGCTCACTCGGGAGAGTGCGGTGCTGATAACACCAAGGCCGCGGGTTCGGATCCCATATAGGGATGTCCGGTTGGCTCTCCGGGTGAGCGTGGTGCTGACAACACCAAGTCAAGGGTTAAGATCCCCTTACCGGTCATCTTTTTTAAAAAAAAAAAAAGAAAGAAAGTTGTCTTGATTCTCAAAGCATCCATTCCCCGAAAGGCCAAATATCACTATTCTTCCTTTACTTATTAAAGCTAAATGTCATTCACCTCCAGAAATCTGAGTTCTTTGTACTTATACCCATTCTTTCTTTCTTCCCATGAGTCTCAAAAGTTTCCCATGTCTACTCGTTTTTTGTTCCCATTCTCTATGACTCATTGTATTTTGATCTATTTCTTCATTTCCAGTGTGTCCCACTCCACTGGCTAGTAACAACCTAGACAAGTCTCCCCCAAATCAGTGGACCACAGTGCAACTGGCATTGCCTACCACCACCTCTTTGTTCAAATCCCCTTCCACTCAGTGAAAACTCAGATCTGGGTTCTTCCCTTCCACTCTTTCTCCTCCCATTTCCCCTTCTTTTTCTCTTTACACACTCTTTTCCTAACACCCATCCCCTAAATTTCAACTACATTTTCTGGGTGAAAGAATCTAAATCTGCATCTCTATGTCCAATCTTTCTCAAGCATTAGTACCCGAACTGAAGTTTCCTGCTGGACCCTTTTAACGAGATATGTCACTAGCTAATAAAACTCAACACATCTAAAATTAAGCTTCTATGTCCAACCTTCAAAAATGTTCTTTTTCTCTGCCTCCCTTTGCCAGACTCATGCCCGTCTTCCCTAATCCACTTCTGAAATGTCTCAAAGTTACCCTTTCTTTGAATTTCCAAAGCCATCCCCCTAATTATATATAGCTTCCTACTTCCTTTCTTTCTAGTATGTTTCACTACAATCAATCCTGCACGGAAGCCTAGGGTTTTAATCCATTTAATTTACTGCTCAATGGATCCCCACAAACAGCTCATCTTCAGGGCTAACACGAACTACATAGAATTGTTAGCCATTTTTATTTAATTTTTTACAAAACTGTAATAAAAAACATAACGTAAAATTTACTATCTTAACCATTAATAAGTGTATATTTCAGTAGTGTTAAGTATATTCTGTTAGTCATTTTTGAAAACACAGTTAGCTAGCCCACAATGATTAGCAGGTGAAAAATGCCTGACCTTGCAGAAAGCTAATCTCACTCAGCTCTGAGGCCCATAGCTGAGAACTAGTAAGTCATTGAAATAGAAGACAATGTAGTTAAATGTATAATTTTCTTCAAGTTTAATGCCATTACAACTTTATTAAATTGAAGTTATTTAGGATTATTGACACACACAAAAAAAGATTAAGTGAGGATGAACAAAACTCCTTATATACTTCAGTCACATTTTACTTGTGTACTAAGCAGTCTCTTTTCCTTCATAAAAATTCCCATAGCTTGCTCACATACAAATTTCTAATCCACTCTGGGGAAAAAATATAGCATCCATGAACTGCAAACACCTTCTTCACGGAGCTCTAAAAATTGTCTACAATTTGGTCCCACGTTATTTTTCTGGTCTCACTTTCTATTACCTTAATTCAGTCAAACCCAATTATGTATACTTCTAGGATGGCCTGGATGTTTTTATGAGTGGCTTTACTCAATGCCATGGTATAACGTTTTTAAGCAGGTTCTAGAGCCAGGTTCAAATTCTGGTGTCACCACTTATTACTACATAACTTCGGGTGAACTATTTAATCTCTCTATGCCTCATTTCCCCATCTGCAAAATGGGGACATAATACTACCAATCTGCTAGGGTTGTCCCAGGAGCTAAATAAGTTAATTCAGTGCCCTAGAGCTTAGGACACTGCTTGCTATGACACGCATACAAAATGTGAGCCATTGTTTTTTCCTGCCACCTGTTTTAATGCCCTCTTTCAAAATTCACTTAAATGCCATCTCCCTGACGACAAAAGCGGAAATTACCTCAAGCCCCTACAGAACTCTGAGCACACTTTACAACCCGAACAGATCACCCAACTCCAAAGATGCGGGATCCCCTGGTGAGCGCTCCTGACCCGTGCTCTTGTGTGACTGGTCATGTCCCCGACGTGGACGCGGCCTGGGTTGTGGGTGCTGCCTGTTTCTGGTTAGAATGGGTACACATCTACCTCGCATCTACTTGGGGCGGTGGCTGCGGGTCTGGAGGGCGGGTAGAGTCACTGTAAAACGTAAAGAGCTGTTTAAATGTAGCGGGCACTGGATAAACGGGAGTTCCACCTAGGACGCAGCACGCCTGAACGCCCCGAGTTACACACTGCTGGAGGCTCAGTGAAGGAAACGGGGTGTGGACGGAGGCGCCGCGTCACTGGACAAGGTCCTTGGTCTCCTGCCACGATTTGGAGCGCTCGGGGCCTGGGGCAGTCGTCTCCGCGCTTGTGCCTGCACACATCAGCGCCATAGGTCTCGGCATCCGCCCCGACCAAGCCCCGCCGTGTCGCCGCTGCAGCCCCAGAACCAGGAGGGCCGAAGACCACCTGCCTCTTGCCCGGACCCACTCTTACCTCCGGTAGTGTCGGCAGCGCAGACTAGATGCGGTCGGAAGGGAAAGGCGGAGCCTCAACATGGCCGCCGACCCCGCCCACGCCAGGCCCCGCCCTCACCCGGACCTGCCCATTCTCGGCCCCCACTCCGCGGTCCCGCCCCTCTTCAGCCCCTTCCCCTTCCTCCCTGGAACTTCCCGGCGGCCTCCGCGCGGGCAGCCTCCCCTCCTCCCGCTGTTCGCGCGCCTTTTGTTCGCTTGCTGTGATCAGAGGAACGTGGCCTCTTCAGCCCCTTCCCCTTCCTCCCTGGAACTTCCCGGCGGCCTCCGCGCGGGCAGCCTCGCCTCCTCCCGCTGTTCGCGCGCCTTTTGTTCGCTTGCTGTGATCAGAGGAACGTGGGGGTGCAGCAGGGTCTTATCACTGTCTGGCAGCAGCCTGTTACGCGCGGCCAGAACCGTCCCAGAGAAGGCAGGAAGAAGCCCAGACTTTAGTAAACCTGAGGTTTGGCTCTGTTAATTCGTGGAAAGGGTTTCCCTGTAACTGAAATTATTTAGAAAGCAGGGCATAATTTCAATTCCCCTGTCCCCCACCCCAAATCTTTCCTGTTCGACTGCTTGGTAGCTGGAGTTAAACCAGTGTCATTTGGGATCTCGAGGACCAGACACTCGGTTAGGGACTCCATCAATGTCCTGTTTTCTCCCTTCCCTCAATAAAAACCAGTTGAAATAAGAGTTGCTGGTTGATGATTTTTCATCAACAAAGATTTCATCCGCAATTCTTTCCTTAACTTTTTGCTTCTCTGATTTAACTAAACTGATTGTGAGTGTACTTGCCTGTTGAGAAAAATAAATCTAATTATAAAAGGGCCAAATTTTTTTTTTCACCAATGGTTAGACTACAGATTGTAAATAAACAACCTAATAGTTAAGGCTGGGCGCCTAGAAGGACTCCGCACTTAGTTTTATTCTCCCAATAATTTTTGAACTCGGGCCCCACATTTTCGTTTGCATTGGGCTTTGCAAATTATGTTGCTGGTTTTGCCTAAAGGACAGGAGGTGAAATGACCTCTGTGGGAACTGACATAAATGTGGATGCGCTGCCACACAGATTACCGGCCAGAATCTGTTGTGTGGTTCAGGCCCATTTTGCCATAATAACCTTTGGACTGAACTGAATCTGTGGGCCTGTGGATCAATTAGGACCCAGTCTGAAAATAATGTTATTTTGAGAAAGCACGGAAGTGAAAAATTCTTTTTACTTTATTTTTTGCTATTTTAAAATATAAATCACTGAAAAAGGAATTTTCTTCAAATTAAGTTTTACAGCTAAAACAAAAGAATACTCAAGTTTGCGGGTTCTTTAGAATTGTAAATATTTGAACAAAGTTAAAGGGTGTTCATTTAGTAAATTGATTGTTGTGAGGTGCAAACCTAAGAACTGTAAGAGCATGAAGTCCTTAACTAAAGGGTTTTTGTGTTAATACAGTATTATAATTATCAGAACTAAAATTTCTTTTGCGCTGCATAAGTAAAATCGTAACAGCTCCAAAAAATTCTGTTTCATTAAAATATTAGGGATATATATTATTATTTGGACACAAAAGCAAAGTAAGCTAAAATCAGAAATTAAGATTGATATCTCTGATAAAGAAACTAGTAATGAAAAATGAATGAATATTAACTGCCTGAAGAAATAGTGCAAAAATTATCTGTGAATATGTGGCTAAGAAGATTTAGGGACTTTCAGTTTGAACTAAAATGAAGGATCTTAGGGAGGCAATGAAAGTGAGAAAAACTCAAATGTACTTAAAGCCTGTGGAAAAGGAGGTTGTCTTAATTAGCTCCAGCTGCTACAACAGAAATAGATGGCTTAACAGGAATTTATTCTTTACAGTTCTGAAGGCTAGGAAGCTCAAGATCAAGGTGCCAGCCAATTCTGTTCCTGGTAAGGGTCTTCTTCCTGGTTTGCAGAGAGACATTTTCTTCCTATAGCCTCGCATGGGGGTGGGTGGATTTGGAGAGCTCTACTCCCTTCATCTTATAAGGGCACTAATCCCATTCATGAGGATTCAACCTTCACAATGTGGTTTTATCCCAAAGGCCCCGCCTCCGAATACCATCACCTTAGGAATTTAGGCTTCAACATATGAATTTTAGGAGACACAAACATTCAGTCCACAGCAGAAATGATTTTTAGAGAGTTTAGAAAAGGCACCATACATTGAGAATGTTATAATCTATTAGACATCAGATATACTACTCGAGAAGTGTTCTTATGGTGTTACATTTCCACAGACTAGATCAAAATATCTATAGATGTTGCCAAAAAGAGAAACACAGTTGAGAACCACTGGCCTGAATACACATTTTTAAAAATTCTTTTTATTCTCTCTGACTCTGTTCTTATCTAGTGACATCTCAGAAAAGAATAGCCTCCATTGTTACTTAATAAATCAGAACTTGGTTAATAATGCATTACTCTCTGCTGAATCTATTTGGGATGATACATTTCCTAAGAGACTTATCACCTCCGAACATGTTATTAACCTTATAATATTGAGTTTCTGAATGTGTACTCTGAAGACCAGACTTTGGACCACGGGAACTCAACCTATACTTCAAATTGGTAGCCTTATGCCAGAGTATCATCTTGACTTTGTTATCTTTATCCTAACTGTAGAGTGAAGTAGAATAAGTATAGACAAACCTTAGTAAAGATTCTCACACTCATATTGGCAAATGTTCAAATTTCACACATTCGTTTCCGTTTTATTTTCCAATGTTTCTTTTTAACTTCCTTAAATCCTAAATCCTATATTTCTTTTCTATTACACATTCATAGTATCTGTTGCTCTTCATTTGACTCAAAAAGATCAAGAATTAATATGTAACTGGGACAGACCAAGACCTTTTTATTAGCCTTCATTATTATTATTGTTGTTGGCATGAGAAATAAAACTATAGCTTTTTTACTATTCAGTGACTATCTTTTTTTTTGTCACCCTTTGCTGTTATAGTACTCTTTCAATTTCTTAACCTCTTACATTTTTGTTGATCCTCACTTTGTCAGTTTATTCACAATTTGCAAAGTCCCATTGATAGCTTATTAGAACCAAAATGGACTCCAGCCACTTGTTAGTCATTAGCACTTTGGAAACTGACAAAAGGCCAGCTCACTAACTGTGAAAATTTATTTATTTATTATTTATTCATATCTCCTGACAGCAATCATTTTGTTGAAAAAATTCTCATTCTATGGCGTGTGCATTAGCCACAACCCATGTGTTCAGAAGCCACATAGTTTTTAAATATGACAAATATTTGTGTGCAAATCACAGTTTTTATATAAAAGGATTACTTTTTCATGACCCAGTTCTATCTTTATAAGTGGGCGAGGACTTCTCTGATGGAGGTGATCACTTATGGTGTTAATCACAGGAAGGTTGTGTAAATCCACAGAGCAAAAATTTATAAATTGGGTTTATGTAGATAAAAAAGAGACAGCGCTCCTGTATGGTAATTCAATTACTGATCCAGAACTTATATAGATGTTAGAATTACATCTTTGTTTGGGTGCTGGTTACATGGGTGTACATGTTTATTGAAATGGACTGTTAAGATCTCATCAAAATGAGATGAACATCATCAAAATGGACTGTTAAGACCTGTGTATTTTACTGTATTATGTAAATTATTCCTTAGTTATATACCTGTCTCCTAACTCCAACTCTTCAGCTAAGGGACTGGATTCTGGTATTGGCATTTGATTTCTTTCTTTTTTCCCAGGCTTTACTGGTTGACTTATTCTGTATGTTTTTTTTTTTCCTCTCTTTCTTATTTATTTATTGTAAAATATACATAACATAGAACTTACCATGTTAACCCTTTTTTAGTGTACAGTTCAGTGCCATTACGTATATTCACACTGTTGAGTAATGATCACCACCATCCATCTCCAGAACTTTTTTGTCTTCTCAAACTGAAACTCTGTACCGATTAAACAATAACTCCCCATTCGCCGCTTCAGACCTGGCACCCACCATTCTACTTCCTGTCTCTTTTAATTTGACTACTCTAACACCTCAGTAATGATCACCACCATCCATCTCCAGAACTTTTTTGTCTTCTCAAACTGAAACTCTGTACTGATTAAACAATAACTCCCCATTCGCCGCTTCAGACCTGGCACCCACCATTCTACTTCCTGTCTCTTTTAATTTGACTACTCTAACACCTTGTGTAAGTGGACTCATACAGTATTTATTCTTTTATAACTTGCTTATCTCATTTAGTATCTTTAGGTTTTTTATGAACGCAAAAGTACCTACCTACCACTTGTTACTCAAATTTTAGGAGATTTATTGCTGTTAAAGTACAAAGGAAACAAAGACGAATCTCTAAGAGAATGTTTTACTTGGGAAAACAGTATTGCAGTCCGGGGCACCCACACAGACCGGGATAATTTTCCTTTTCTGAAGAACAACAACAAGACGTCTGGGAGTTTATGAGAAAGAGGAGTGTTATGTATTGTTTTGAAGAAAAGCTCATTGGCACTGGCAAAGGTTTTGGGAGTTGGCTGTCTTTGACTACTGAGTGATGGTGGTAGGTAAAATTAGTATTAGAGTCATGGCAGGTTGTTTCAGCAGCTGCTAGATAAAAACCAG